GGCCCCCCCCCCCACCCCCCCACCCAAAAAAAAAACAAAAACCTCCAAAAAATCTGAAAAAAGATTATGTAATGCAGAAAAATAAACTGAACAACTTTTGCCTCAGGGTCACATTCGAGATTCTTCATCAAACTTAAAATAAAAAATACTTCAAAGAAAAACAAAAGTTTTGGCGCAGCCGGGCAAACGCAGCAAAATTCTTTTTTTTTTTTTTTTTTTTTTAATTCAAACTTGGAACTAGAGCTCAAGTATTCAAGACCGTGGGAAGGGATGATCCCGGGCCACTCTGGTAGCCTAGATGATGATGATGATAAGAATAAGAATAAGAATAAGAATAAGAATAAGAATAAAAACTAAAATTAAAATGACCTCACGCTATCGACCTACATACCGTGTGCGCTATTGACCCACAGCTGTGAGGAAGAAAACAAAGGGCCTCTCACAGCTCTGAGGAAGAAAACAAAGGGCCTCTCACGGAGAGTCGGTGCTGAGTTCTGGTCGGGATTACCCATCACTTTCTTGCTGCTTGCTTCTGTGACAGGGTTGTTGATGCTAGGTGCCTTGAGCACATTGTTTCCCCATGTGTTGCACGCAACGCACACGGAAGCGGAGATGGACGTCTCGGAACTCCAGCTGTCTCGAGTATGTGCGGTGGTGATGCTTATCGGGTACCTCAGCTACATCACATTTCAGCTCATCACCCATGTCGACCTCTATAGCGATGAAGAGGACGGGGAGGAAGCGACCATTGGTCTGTGGGGCTCTCTTCCCTGGCTGGCGCTGATCACAGGATGCATATCTGTCCTGTCGGACCTCCTGGTGGACACAATGGAGGCGGCGGCGAAGTCGTGGGGAGTTCCGGCTGCATACTTGTGCGTAATTCTCTTGCCGATCTTCAATAATGTGGCAGAACATGGGTCTGCTGTACTGTTTGGGGTGAAGAACAAGCTCGACTTGGCGCTTGGAATCGCGGTTGGCTCGTCGATTCAGATCTGGATGTTCTTGATGCCGTTGTGTGTTGTGGCGGGTTGGATCTGCGGTAAGCCGATGGATCTGAACTTCCACAACTTCGAGTCTACCATCTTCTTTGTGGTCATACTCGTGTGTGCGATTATTCTCGGTGACGGCAAGTCCAATTGGCTGAAAGGTCTTGTCCTCATCCTCTGCTACAGCACCGTTGCCGCTGCGTTCTTTTTCCACACAGACAAGTATGCAGCGGGCCTTCATCTGCCCCGGCCTACAGCCAGGGCCTATTTGGCTATTTGCCAGTTCGGCCTGTGGGACCAGGCCGTGGCCTGACCCCACAGGCCGTATATTGTTTCAGTCCAGTCCAGTCCCGCCCGGTACCACGGTCGGTACCAGGCCAGTCCAGTCCAGTCCAGTCAGTCCGCTGGGGGTATACCCCAGCTGCAGTCTGTTTTTCGTCATTCTTCACTTTCGCAGATCTTGGAGTACTTGCGTGTGGAGTCTGCGTCGGAGCTGCGCTGTCCCCTCCAGCTCCATCTCTACCTCCTTCTTCGTCTCCATCCTAACGGACCGCCATCCCGGCGGGTCCGGCACAAAGTATCTGATCACTAAGCCAATCCCTGTGGGTCTACCTGGTGAGCTGAAGCTCGATCTGTGAACTTGGAGCCTGCCTCCATCGTTTTTCGCCTTGTGCGCTGCAAAATGGGTGTGCACTGAACTTAACTTGGGACAAGCTTCTTTCTTTGTTGTCGTTCGCGTCAATTTGAAAGTGGACTATTTTGGGAAGAACCTTTGTCGTTCCCCTCGTCTTTCGCTGCAAAATGAGTGATTTGGGGAGAAGCTTCTTGAAGTTCCTTTCTCGTCTTCCGGTGCTTGCAGTATTCGGATGCGAAATGGACAAGCCTTAGGTACATTTCGGTGGCCAGGAGGAGGGGGAGGCGGGGGCTGCCAAGTGTTGTGCTGCTCCCGCTCACAGCTGGGCTTTAAGGAAGGGGAAGCTAGAGTGCTGTTGTAAGGAAGGACGGCGAAAGTAGAAGCCATGAGAGTATAGGAGAAGAGGCAGTCGACAGTACGACAGGGGATTTGCTATTTTTAGCAAGCAGAACACGATCGCTGTTGCCTTGGCTCTCGGCTATTTTTTCTGTACTGTACAATGAGTGGTAGTTTGGCTCTTTTTCTGTGCTTTTGGTGCTTACAAGGAGATGGTTCTTCGATGGAAATACGACTTGGCTTGCAGAATCTGATGCGCATGCCGGATATTCCAGAAGCTTCTCGAGAGGATTGATCACTCACAGAGAGAATGTGGTGACTTGCTGGCATATATCAACAGATTCAACAGCCTTTTATGAGATCAAGAGTCTCAGAGCAGTGGGCCTCAAGGTATCCTAGAAAGCCAGCCTTAGGAGAGAGAGGAAGTAAGTTCCCCTCAGCACAAGGTTGCATGCCGCGTGCCCGAGTGCATTGCGCTACTAACTTACTAAGCAATTGCCGCAAAATTTACGTGAACGGTGCCTTTTTAAAACTTTAAGGCAGAGTAATGGGAGCTCTGAGGCTGTCAATGCCAACAAAGTTAACACAGATGTTCGCTGCTTCTTCCTCCCACTGCTTCGCACAGGGTGTCCTCGCTCGAAGCGATGATGCTAGTTGCTCCCGCCATCGATCCTTTCCCTGCTGCTTTGCACGGGACGTCGTCACTCGAAGCACGCAATGTTTTCTTTCTCCTACTTTTTGGTTGCCCTGGGCATGTTCTGCAGACCCAGTTTTGCACCAAGTGTAGTAGCCCGACAGCGGCGACAGGGTACTCGAGACTCATCTTCAGGGTACTAACCCATAACCGTTATGGTCTATCGTTTCGAGTCGTCGAGGGAACGCAGTGCCACCTGCTAAGTTAAACAAGGACTGTTGGTCAATTGTGGGTAGAAGCGGGAGTTAACCAGAAGGGTTGACTAAGCTGCTCGGGGTCAGATTGGGAAATATTATGTCAGTGTCAGGGGCAGTGAGGCACTTACAGACGACGACACTCGAAGGTTTGTTGCGGCTGATAAATGCCACCTGCACCAGAAAGAGCAGTGCACTTCCTCTGGAGTACGAGCTCTGTTTCGTTGACGTAACTTTCTGTTCGTTAAGGTAACATGTTGTTCGTCGTTGTAAATCAGAACCTGGGAGGAGTTTTCGCTGTTTGTTTTCGACTAACGAGCAGCTCGAGCCAGATGTCACGGCGGCCCTCGTTGATCACTTTTTTATACTCTACGCATGTGAAAAGAGGACTGACAAACAGACACATAAGCGCAGAGATGGCGTGTCATAGCGTACAACTTCTCCACCAAGTTTTGCCTTTTAAGTTACCGTTAAATAAATGGCAAGTGAGACGAAGGCAGACAGGCACACAGACACACCGATGGATGCCAAGTTGGAGTGTCAAAGCGCACACGTCTTTCCCTGCGAGCTTGCTTGTCGTGCCGTTAACGCCCCTTCATTATGTTACGGTCGCGTAAAAGGCCGGTGTTTAGGCCATCTCATCTCATTTTTTCCTCTCATTTTTTCCTCTCATTTTTTCATCTCATTTTTTCATCTCATTTTTTCATCTCATTTTTTCATCTCATTTTCCCCTCATCCGTCCCCTTACTGCCATCTGCTGCTATGATTCAGACGGACTCAGACCTCGTTCCGAATAATTGCAGCTTTGCCCTCCTGGTTGGTTGTACCTTTTGCAATCAGACTCGTTCTCAAACACACTTTTCATGCATGTAAACAGCAACGCAGCATACTGGCGACGTGCGCCCACTCAAAACTCAGAGATATGGCTTTCAGATACGAGTTCACTCTCAATTGGCTATGGCGACTTCAGCGCCCAAACATCTCACTGTTCACATACACTGGATCACCCTGGATATCCCACACGCAT